CTTCGGGGATTGAAATATTGTCGTACGATAATATCTTGCGTTAGATTCTCGCGCCGATCGGCCGATCTTTATCGACGGGGATATAAATTCATCGCTGAGGCACGCAACTTTCTACGTACGTACTCCTCGTAATAATGCAGCTCGAGCGCGCGGGGAAAAATCCGGCGTTATTATTCCGTTGACCAGGCGCGACGGAGTCATATCCCGGCTCGTAAAGTGGCATTCTGCTCAGCATCTGACCGCGGAAAAGACATCTTCATATTCAATCGGGAGTCGAAAACCCTCTCGCTTGGGATATCGGCCCGCAACCGCGCGCATGCGCCCAACACGCACGCACGCACACACCCGGCTCGTTAGGCGGCGCACGTGCGCATATTTAACGCGCGGTATCCGTCGTATTCCGAAGGCGATTAACCCCACCGATCGGCTCGTCGAGCGTTTACGACACCCCGAGCCCTGCTCCTTTCCGCCGTTGGCGGTGTCCACCTGCTGATAAACAATTTTTCCTCGCGCGAACCCGCGAATTTATAGCGACACTTGGAAATTTGAGAAATATACACTTGGACGAAGATCCGAAGAACGACGTCGAATTATGCGAAGCTCCGAATTCTCTCGGAAGAGATTCGAAATGTCGAAGCTGGTAGAATTAATTTCGGCGAGTGCAACGAGATGCAATTAAAAAATATCAGATTTAACTGATGTTTAACCCAGATAACGCGAAGACGTCATAGAACGTCGCAAAGATGTCTTTTAGACAGTAAGGCGTCTAAAATGCGTCTTTAAAACGTTTTTTAGACACACTTGTTGTTTGGATAGTTCTAGATCAATTCTGAGATTTGTACTTGTCTAGTTTAAAACAAAGTGAATGTAGAAAACACTATAAATAACAAGCAACAAATCTCATTAACTTACCAAAATGCAAATTCCAATCGTGTCGAATGACGTGATTTTGAAAACGGCAAGAAACGTGTGAGAAAAGCGTCAGCTAAAATAAGACGTTCGAATGTTTGAAACTCGAATATTCCGAGAGTTCGAGCTTCCAAAATTACATTATTCGAATACAATGTGTCGATGGTGCGGAAATTCGAAGTATTCGAATATAATAATTTTCAGCCCCGATAAATGGGCAGACACGCGCAATCGTCGTCGAGAGAAAAGCCGGGGCATTTTTTCCCAAGTTTGTATTTACCATGATAATAAATACGGGATGTAACGGGACTGATAATAAATCGCGACGCGCGTTAACGGGCGACGATAAACGTATTCGTCGTCGCTGCGTCGGACGCAGCGCGCGCCACGACAAGCGAGAGAAGAAAGCACCTGCCAAGTATCCGTGCGCAGTGACTAACGACGTGTAAGCCGTCGGGACCTTTGCGGCGCGACGTGTGTTTGGAAAACACACGCGGGGGGAGAGAGCGGAGAGAGCGTAATCGTCAAGCGTTCGTTCCGCCGTCCCGTCTCGATAAAGAAGGACGCGGTAAATCACGGTTCTCGGCCGCGCGCGTGAATTACGCGAGCCGACGCGGGCAACTCAGAGCAAAGCGTACTCGGAACCGGGCGCGTACCTCGAATCCGTGATCTTACCGCGAAAACAGCCTGACGAGGGAGGACGCGTCGATTTCTAGCGGGAGTTACTGGCAACGCGTTCTCGCCCCCGTAGGGAGGATATTCGAGGATTCGGTATAAAACCACCCACGTGCGGTTCACGTGTACCGCCGGCGCGCCGCTACTTCCCGATGTTCGTAGGAAAGCGCTGAGCAACACCTTTTCGGGGAAGTTGTGACGCAATCGCGACTTCGCGGGACAGACGCGGTCTATCTCGGAGTAGAGGAAAACGATACCGGCGCACAAATAATAGCAAAAAGGCAGTTCGGTGTAACGGGAATTGGTTTGTTCATCTCGGGCGAATTAGATTGCATTTTCCTTGCCTTTGGAGGGGAACGAGTGTATAATCTAGCGTTGAGGGGAAAGAGAACCAAGTCCCAGAACAGCGCTAGTTGAGCTAAAACGAACAGGCCTAATGAGAGGGAAGGAGGGAGAGCGTTATTTATTTAGCGCTCCGGGATATAATCCCCTCAAGCGCTCGGTAACACGAAGTGCAATTTCAATGATATTCCAATCAACTAAACGGCCGAAACTATGTACATACATGTATGATAAATATGTATCTGTCGTTCAAAATGCCTAAACATATTATATACAATACCATACATGGATCTGTATGGAACATATTATAAATAATCTCATTCGTATACTAAATACTAATATATGCTATATCACGCTATAAATTAATCCTAGCACTATAATATACTCCCGAGCTTGTACTGTGACAAACAATGCTAACTGTATTATATTACACGAGAAAAAATACGATCGAATCAACAGAATTCCCAACAGCGCGCGTAATTTGAGCAGATCCTCTTGACTAGTAGCGATATCATTGAAACTAATACTTTAATTATCGGAACAACACATAACATAGTGGTTTTAATGATATTTTCTATCGAATCAAGAAGATTTCGTTCAATTACGCTGCTGTCGGAAATTTTATCGATTCAACGGCATTTTTTCCGTGTACTGAAGTCGCCGAAGAGAAAATGGAGGGAAACACACGTTCGACGGCAATGTCCAAAAGTCAAGGCGGCGCCTCGACTTCCAATCGAGCACGTCCAGCCGCTCGTCGCGCGCTGCGCAAGAGAGAGAAAGAGAGAAAATCACAGTGGGAATCCTTCGGTCCCGTGAAGCGTGGCGCGTCTTCTCACGGCGATACGGCACTGGGGGCTCCGTTCCGAGCGGCAGCGTGCCGAGAGAGCGCGGGGGGTATTTAACGATGTACTAAAGCGCGGCGTGCTCAGTGAGCGCCAACGCAGCGGCGTTGGTAGGACGCGCGGAGATCGAGAGAGGGAGGGAGATAAAGAGAGACAAAGAAAGATCGAGAGAGAAGGGGGGGGAGAGTCACTCGCTCGCTCGCTCGCGCTCGTTGAGAGCCGTAAATTTAGCGCACTGATCTCATTCCGCGGTGAATCCGCCGACGAAAATAGCGGCCGCCACAACGCGCGCGCTGTTAGAAGGACCGCGTCGCGCAGCGTCGTGCCGCTGGTGGACGAGAGGCGCACGCGCCTCTCGGCGCGTTTACCCCTGGAATGCGCGACCGTGCGCGCCGGAGGGAATACAAGAGAGAGAGAGAGAGAGAGAGTTCACCGTTGCGCGAACCCACCCGCGGAACCGGCGGGTGTGCGAATATCATCCCGTGGGCGGGGATCCGCATAAAGGCCGATGACTCTTTGTTTTGGGAGAGCCGCGCGCGCTCTCTCGTGGCCCGACGCGGAGCGGCGCGACGCCCGCTTTTCTGTCACTGACCTTCCGCGAGAGCCGCGCGCGCGGCACGCGATAGGATACACGGCGGCTTCTACCTGCTCTCCTCTCGCCTACCTGCCTGCAGCCGCGTGCGCCTCGCTCTTTCTCCCTTTCTCCTCGTCTTCCCTCGTCTCTCTCTCTCTTTCTTTGCCTCTTTCTCTTCTACTTCGCTCGACACTATCGTAGTGATGTCCCGTTACCCACGACATGGGGGATTAGCGTGTCTTGAGCCCTTCTCGAGCGCCGGCACGCCGCGATTCCTGCGCGACGTAACTAAGATATACGGTGTAACGCGCAGGTAAACGCCGCCGTGTTCTCTTCATGCGGCTCGGTTATGTTGTACGGCTTATCTCATTGGTTACAAAGCGTCTGAAGATAAACTTGAGACGATTGTAAATACAAGATCTGACTATGAATACCAGCCTATGAGTAATATATATACTGTTCAACTATTTCAACGATGCATCAATTCCACTCGTGGTAGCTAAGTCACAGAAAGCCGAGCGTATTCGAATAATACCGAACGGAGATAGCCGAACTATAAGTATGCCTCTCTCGCCCCGAAACTGTCATCCCCGCCGAGCTAATGTTTTGTCTATATTTTTTATGTCTATGATCACCCACACACACATATCGTTGACAAAAACTTCGTCGAAGAGTCTGATTTGCCCGAGGGTATTCGGAGAGAGTAGTCGACGATTTCTTCGCGCTATGCAGCGCTAATTGGATTTTTATCGGTGTTCAATTGACACTCGCAAATCTTATCGGCTGTTCGGCGCGTTTCTATTAGACTCGCTCAAACGTGGCGGTTAGTGTATTATCTTATCTGATGCTAAAAATAGCTACGGGACAGCGTGAAATTAACGATTTTCCTTCGCTTCGCGGAAAGATAAAGAGACGGTAAACGCGTGCCGTCAATGTGCTCCTCGCAATGTGCTTCCAAGCGCTCTCATCAAATCACGAGCGAACACGACGGCTCGTACTCCGCGCGCGGGTGTAGTGTTTTTAGAATGTGCACTGAGAAAAGTAAATTGAAATTTTGCGGAGTAAATGTTTCTTGTAACGTTTCCTTTCATATTTTTTGGTTAGAAAAAAATTGGACTGCGACGACGGAATATATATTTTTGCGAAATATATCCAAGTTCTCTCGTTAATCGGTCTATTTGCTAGGAATACAATATTATTTCGCAGTTTATTTCTGTGAAATATGTCTTATATTTCACAACAAAATTTTCAAGATTTTTTCTCAGCATAGAGTCTAAACAACACGTAGACATCTTTTTATTAATTCACGTTCTCAGAGTGGCGATACGAATCGAAGTACAGCGGGAAAATACATTCAAAGAGTGACAAAGATAAAATATCGATAAAAGCAAGGTTAATTTATCAAATCAAAATATCTTGTCATTCGTTACCCTCTCTTTACGTTTTCTATAATCATGAAAAACTATCTAACAATTCTACGACACGTCTTTCCGTTATTATTCACTTATTCATCTATATCTATTATCTATACACGCCATTTTGAGGAGGTTTTAGTTCGGACGTCTCCAGACTCTGTTTTCTACNGGGGGGGGGGGGGGGAAGAAGTGAACTGCGAAACACTCGTTGGAGGAAAATCCAGACACGCGACGGATGAGAGAATGGAGCGCTTGGAGGCAATAATTGCAGGCGGGGCGGCGGCAGTCGTCGGGTCGCGCGCGCGCGCGGCAAGCCAAGCGAGCGTAAAGGCACTCTCGCGCCGTGGCACGGTTCCAAAGGAGGTCTCGTGGCCGCCCGAAGTATATTCAAAGTGCGCTATTCGGCTTTACGATCCGCTTCGGCTTATGCCGTATCGGTGGGAAAACGCGCCTAGATCGAAGGCGTAAGTAAGTAAGCGCGCCGGAACAATTACGCCGGCGAGCGATTACGTCACGTCGTGGCGCACGCGATGATGACATGCGCCTTCTCGTGGAAATTCGACGTCCGTTTAGCGTCATCGCCGATGACGCGTTATCGTCGTCGTCGTCTGCTACGTTTCCTCACTTCGAAGCGTTACGTGCGTGTCGCTCGTCGGCCGGACAGCCTCCAGTCGATCTCGAGCCTCCTCTCGTGCGGCTGAATAGAGAAAAATCGCGCTCCCGCGAACGCGGAGAGTTTTGGCTGGGAAGGAGAGCTTCGGTTGTCGCCAAGGTTGGACTTCGAGGGAGTTCGAGGGAGTTTCGTGGACAGGTAAATCGAATCTCAAAGGGACGGAAATCGATCGTCGGCTTAATTGGCGACGGTAGACGCGTGCACGGTCGCAGGTTGCGCCGACGCGCCGTCGGAATTTTGCAGAGGGGAAAAACATTAACTCGATATAATTGGCTGCGAGATAAGAGCTGATAGAAAGTCCGTGTAACAACAACGCGTCTGGCGAATACTACGTAAGAGCCGCGACGACGTAAGCCAGCCAGGAATTATTTGTATCGCGAAATCGTGTGCAATTGTCGTATGCTCTAAACGAGGTCAACGAAGGACGCGCGTTCAGGCGTGCGCGACTATAATTTAATGAATGCATGATTTAATTAGCCGTAATGCGCGCGGCTACGCTCGCGCTTTTGTCACGATATGTTCAACAATCTCGATGGAGAGATAATAACAGGCAGGCAAGGGGGGACGGGGGGATTTCTATAATATGGGGATATAATATTTTTAACGGCACGGTTAGGAGCGCTCGAGGAGGCGCGAACAGCCGGTCGATCGGCCAGTCTCGCGACTTATCACAATACACTGCCGACGCGATGAAGGAAGTAACCAGCAGAGCAAGCGCGCGCGGTAATAGAATTACGGCGATTCCGGCGTTAAGGAGGAAAAATATATGACACGAGGGTTCGGAATAACGATCTCGGGCATGAACGAACTTCTAACTGGCCGGGAGTTTATATCCCACTTATTAGCTTACCTACATAAAACTTTAACTTTTCGCGAGTAACCGACTGGAAGGAGGCGAAATTACCGACTCGAATTACGTCACGCGTTTGCGTTACACGGGGGAAAAAAAGGAGGCTACATACTAATCGATGAAAGGAGAAAAACGTAAGAGAAAATCCGCGGAGCAAGCTTCTCGGAGTCCGTCTTCGATATACGCTCGCGGAAATAAAATCCCGCGTAGGAATTTTCCGAGATTTTTCAATAGGGAGCATGGATTCCGATTATAGAGATATACCCAAAGTTGTCTGAAAATAAGATATCCCGCTATGGCATTAATTCGGAATGCCATTCTTCTTGTCCCACACATGGAACGAAGCCTCTTTTTCGCTGATTGTCCGTGCGCTGTTACTTGTTTCATATCGCGTGCGCCTGTAATCACTAGAGTCGAGTAACAGTTCGATCGAATATCGGATTAGGAAGTTAATAAATTGAGTTATATTTTTAATGTTAATATGCTTAATATGCTTAATAGCACGCGCGTAGCGTGTGTGCACTCGTAAAGCGTAAATATCTATAGCGTTTCATATATTTTGTTCAATTGTAACGTAAAATGGAAACCAGAGAAAATGTTCAGGAAAATGTTGGGGGTGATCAAATACGCAGTAAAGAATTTTACATTAAATTCAATACATTTCACATGTTCATCATTTTCTACGCGGAATGTATCGAAATTTTCACGCGGGCGTTCTTACGAAAATGAGCAAAACGGTTGTTCCAATTTTACACGCCGATTTCGACGTACATATTAATATTATTGAAAGCGAGCCGAGAGCTTCTCAGAAGCTGAGATAAGGACTGATAACGCAATTATTAATATCGAGTATGAGAGCGATATCGCGATAACGTGGTCGCATTCTCGAATGTCGCAACGCCCGCGATTGTTCTCGTCGCGCTCGGCTCGTAAAAATTGTCAACACGACGTCTCACAATTTTCAGAGGCGCAGAAGACAAGAACGGGGGTCATAGGTCGCGCGTGGACGATTATCGGGATCAGCGACGTCGGCGAATGCTTGTCATTTAGGGGATTCCGGACTCCGTCGGCTCCGAAATTCAGAAGCGCGATAACCGTCGTGGTTCGTTGCGACGCTTGTCGCGAAAGTGCGTCGCGAGCGAGACGCGTCGGGCGCGCGACGAACAAAGGTGAGCCCCGCGAGCCGCACTCGACCCGCGAATTCTGACAGATCGAAAGCCGCGTTTTGTATCGGAGACCGCGGGGATCGGTCGCTACCGAGTCGTTTTCCGATACTTTATAGCTCGTGTTGCGAGCGAAACTGGCCGTAACGCGGAATAATGTGTGTGTTCCGATCCCCTCCCTCCTCCCCTCTCTTGCTCTGTGTGAGCCACACGAGATATTTCACTAAAGAGTTAAGCCGGGACAGCCTCGTGGATGAATACATACGTGACGTAACTTTAATTAATTAATTAATATCAGAACCTTGTTAAATTAACCGTCGCAACAAGCTTTCGCGTTATTTCCGCGTTCGGCACGAAATTAAACGTCAATTTTATCGGTCCGTGCGTTAATTCAAATGACCGCACGACGATAATGCAGCGCGATCGACTTTTATCAGGCTGTCGCTTACCTCATCGGGATTAAATACACTCAAGTTCGAACGAACACCTGAGATATATACATTAAGCGTCACTTTTGGAGAATTAAAGCTTTTCGTACACGCGCACGGTCCGGAAGCTCGGGGACGATGGAGAAAAACCCGCATATAAATTCGGGAAGACCTATCGGTGGTTTCGCAACGCGAAAGAGGGGTTAAGGNAATCGATATTCGCACGACCCCCGAACCCCCACACAGCTCCCCCCCCCCCGCACCCACATATAGACAGCGCGAGCCGAGTGCATTATCATATGAGGAAGGCACGGTATTTCGAAATATATTACCGCCGTTCGTAATTTATCAAGCCATTTTCGACGTACTTTGTATGTTTCGGTATTACAAAACTCTGCTTAATCACGCGATATCGCGTTTAAAACGCGGACAGATTCCGGTCGCCGATCGTAAAAGGGTTACGCTCTCTCTCTCTCTCTTTCGCGCCCACTCGTTCTCGCAAGCTCGCTCTGGGTCTTTGTTTTGCGACTTTCGTGCGTAACATTAATCCGTTTTAATGTTTAACTCCGCTGACTTTTAACTCCCTCCCTCCGCCCCCCCCCCTCTCTCTCTCTCTCGCCACCGACGCAATGGCAAGCGACAAGAGTCCGTGACACGTCGGCGAAATTGAATCTTTTTTTTCCGAAAGCGCGTAATACATTTTTCCGTATACGTGTAGTAGAATGATTAGAGGAACGCGTCTCGCGACGTCCCTCGGCGTTTCGCTCGATACCGCGCGCGTACACTCGATATACGATCCTCGATGCTCTCCGGTGTCTTCTCCCGGCCACGTCGTTATCCTGGGCGCGTCGCGCGAGACTTATCTTACGGACGCTTAGAAACGCGCGAAAGAATATCGCTCGCGCGCGTTATCAGCATCACGGCCAATTACGCCGGTAATTGGCCGTAATGCCGTAATTGGCGATCATTAATCCGAAGATCTGTCGAGATTCACTGACAATGCTGACAACAATAACGGGGAGATACGCGTATCCCCCCGTGTAATTTGCCGCGATCGATTGGGACAGCCGATAGGCGAGCGAAAAAGCGACCGAACCTCACCTTCCCCTCTTGCTCCCCACACACTCTCCCCCTCCCCCTCGAACCCCACCCGATCGCCTCGGACACACGCGCGGATTGAAACGCACGTCGACGCGGGATAATACGCGAATCGAGCGTGCCGCCGCGTCCGGACGACGACGAGCGACCGGACCGCTCGCGCGCGCCCGTGACTATCGATGGGTCTGATTGCGATGGACGAGATAGCCTGGCCCCGATATTCGACTATATGAACACCGCCGCAGCGGTGTGTACGGGTGCGGAATGACTATCGCGGGGATATTCGTAGGGATGCGATGACACGCGCCGCCAGTCGATGGAATCGAATGAAACGCTCTTGGTTACGCTATTGCTAGCTGGGACAAAGAGAGCCCCCGTTTAACACCTCGTTGAAAAAAAATAGAGAAACGGGTCCCGCTCTCGTTAATCCGCCCGATTCTCCCGTCTCGCGATAATCGCCGGTAGGTTATCGGAGACGGAGGGCCGTCACTTCGCAGGGTTGCTTCTCGTTTTTCGGCCTAAGGTCGAGAATGAAGCGAAAGGAAGTTCGGAGAAGTTTCCAGTGAACCGGGAGGAAGCTGATTATGGCTCCACCGGAACCGTTCAGACCAACCTGGGAGATTTGCTTTCTGGACGTTCGCTCGCTGCTTCGCGTTCGTCAATTGATGATCCCCGCAAGCTTTCCCGCACGCTACCTCGACGTGTAATTGTTCGCTTCGAGAACGCTTTCCCGTGTCGAATGTTAGTTCTAGCACCGTAAGGATATATTATGTAATGACGAATCACAAGGATATACATCGTCATAGCCATTGGACTCACTGCTTGCCGTCCAATTATCGAGGTTAAGCAGGGTCGAACGTGGTACGGAGCTGGGTGATCCCGGATGCTGGCAATTTTTTTCCTACGTGTGTGCATACTGACCGCTCGCGGAAAGCTTCCCGAACACTTGCGTCTGCTTCTTACGAACGCTCCAAGTGAGCCATAATCAACTTCCAGCAAGTTACACGGTCACTTATTAGGCTTAGAATACTTTTCCACGCAGTTTACTGGATGCATGCTTACGGAACGCTCGTCGAAAACTTCATTTTAGAATTGAGGAGGGGGAGGGCGAGGAACGGTTTCGGCATGCGTTAATGCAAATATACGAAGGCGGTCTATTAAAATGTTTCTCTCCCTCCCTCTCTCTTTCGTATAGCGGGAGTAATGCTTCTGGTATGCATAATTATCTGTCTGTGTATTTAAATGAGAGGAAGCCACGTGCAGTGAAAAACCACTCTTGGCATTTTTCGGACAAAGAGAGGGGGAGAAAGAGAGAAGAAGGCTACTCTTCGAAGATTAAGCGATTCCGTTCGAGCGCGTTTGAATACGATCTCTCGTCGAGGCGTCGGAAAGTTGAATGTAGTTTTTAGAGCGTGCCACATGTGGAACACCGTGCATACTAAGGGTCAGGCTAAGAATAGTGCACCGGTGAAGTTCGTCGGACGAAGTAAAATTCCAACAACATCGATAAGTGCCGGCCGCCGGGGCTAACCGAGGGCTTTGTGTGTTTCGCGATCTGCATTATCTATAGCTAGCTCGACTGTGACCCAGAATGAGACA